GGAATGATGAAAAATCGTTTTAGATGTATCCATCGGAAAATGGAATATGAATTAGATAATTCAGTTAGGATTATCAAAGCCATTGCGATCTTGCATAATATTTGTATTATTTCTGGAGATAATTCCGAGTTGGATTGGGATATATCATATGTAATTTATAAAAAACCATCGTGTAACAGCCAAACTACAGATGGAAATGAGATTCGTCAAGCGTTCACTGATTATTTAGTAAAAAATTCATTGGACAGAGTGTTTTTGTGATACACTTTATATATTTCTTGTTATTATTATTAATGGTTATTAAAAGTTCAAATGTTATTTTTTTTTGTTCTTATTGTCGTGCTACATGTTTTTTACCTTATTAATCTGCTTAATTATTATTTATTCTTCCTTTTTCCTTATTTCAATGTACGTTTCGTGGATTTAATATTCTTAAGAACATATATTAATTTTTATGATTTTTTTTTCTATCATAATAAACTATTCTTACAACTATTGTTTACTTTTAAATAGTTTGTTTCTGTTTCAAACATATTAAAAGGACTTTTTATACTTCAAGTCGTTAAATATAATATAATACTTATTCAAGTCATAAGATTATTCATTGTTAGGATTAAATTACATTAATCTTTTAAGTGAAACAGCAAATTTAAAAGAAACTTCTATGTAAACCGTATGTATACGATACCGACATCTCTAAGTGCATCAAAATTTATTTTTATGCAGATGATCTACATCAAATAGGCGTATCTTCCATTTTCACTGGTGATTTGTTTGCTTATAGTATGAATGAACATCGACTTAAAAGAAAATAAATATTCTTCAATTTTTAGTGTGATTGGGTTCTAATGGAGCAGAAAAGGATAAAAGAGTCATTCGCTGATTTATTTTGAATTACTCTGTTTTAACAACGGAAGAAGGCGACTGTGGGCACTGTTTAAGGGAATCCAACGGTTTAAGGAAAATATGGATACCATTGTAGAGGCACAGGAAATGATATGATGGCTCATAGATTTAGCACGAAAAACTAGCCGACAATAGAGAATAAATGTTTCCAAAATATAAGTTTTTATTATTATTTCTGTTTTTATTGCAATTTTCTCAAGTTTGAGGCTTGTGATATTAAATTTAAAAGCTCTAGTTCTTTTTGTTTTATGCAAATCTACATACCAATTGGTATAATTTCCACGCTAAACATTTCTTGAAAGTGAATACACAGTGCGATTAAAGTTCAGAAAAACGACTTGAAGAATTCAATTTGCTACACCAGCTAATTTGTTTCATATTACAATATACTTTTTTAGGTAATCAATTAGAGCAACCACATGAGATAAACTGAACCATCTAATTTTAACAGAAAATCAACAAAACAGCTTTCCTCAACTCGTTTAAGAAGTTTTATCATGAATTGAATTATGTTATTATGCACGATGACTTGAATAACTTTCTAATCAAGTGTCTCCATCAAAATAAGTGAGCGGTCTTATACGACAAGTCAACTTATTACGTGAAAGAATCCGATTCAAATTACTAAACAAGCATGTCAGTTAGACTACACATGTGAACCTTTGGAAATACCTGTTTTCAATTTAGTATTTTTTCGTAAACTTTTGACGTATTTTCAAGATTAATTTAATAATATGAGATGCATTCGAGATTGTTTTAGTTAATAAGACTTTTCCATCGTATGATTTCATGAGCCTCTACAATGGTCTCCACGTTTTTCCTTAAACCGTTGGATTCCATTAAACGGTGTCCACAGGCAACTGTGAACGATATTTGTTTTAATGCGCACTGCATAGATATGGAGGAGAGAAAAAAAAATATTGGCTAATAGCTGTCAGTCAATGAGAGAAGGATACTGGCAAACTGTTCGTTTACTTTCTTTTGCTCAATCTTAAAAAAAGTCTTAAATTTATTGTTCTTTGTAAATAATTATTTTTTGCTGATTTCTGCCTTTCAGAGTTTCAAGGGTATTAATAACAAATTTTCTTTCAATCGATTTCTTATAAGCTTATCAGTTATTGATTTTTAAAAAAATCATTATTTAGAAACACACGTTAATTTAAATGAGTTTTTAAAATTAAACACAAACATGGGTGTGGGTGAGTGTGTGCGAGTATCTTTTCTATTCACCACACTCAGTCGCACCCACGCCCTGTGGAACATTTTCGTCTACAAATAAGTGAGTTTATACATTCGCTAAATCATGCGTTTCGATTATATTGTACACAACCGTTTTCCATCATATTTCTTATTTTTCGTTATTTTCTTTTTCGAGTTTCTCCAGAAGGAAAAGTCGTAGAATAAAAAATTTTACGCCCTTAGAAAGTCCATCTATGAAGGTAAATTTGCCACTATGTTAATTTTTAAAAACCGCACTTTCGATTTTTCGCTAAATGTCCGCCTGGATGCGCACTGCGTGATTGTTTTTTATTCTAGCTTCGTAACTATATGTTGAATTAGAAGTAGGAGTAGTTGTAGAAACTAGAGAGATATGGTTATCGATTTACTTCTTCTGATGCAATTTCATCTCTGCTTTCTAGTAGTTTTTTTTTCACGAATCTATTTAAACAGTCCTGACTGGTATCTTTTTGGATAGAAGGACTGATGATCTGCTCTTTTTGCTTATTAATTTCCCGTTCATCGCTCTGTTTGTTTGTTACTTTGTAGATTAAACTTATTTACTATGTCCTCTACTCCTCGTGTTCTATTCTTCCACGGTCTTAAATCCGGTGTCAATGGTCAGAAATCCCTCTATCTAGCTAAACATTTTCCTAACTCTTATGCTCCTAACCTAAAACCTTACTACTTAATTCCACTGTCTCTTTGGAAAGCGATTATAGCTGTCTATCATTTTAAACCGAATATTATTGTTGGAAGTAGTTTCGGTGGATTTATAGCCATGCTTTTACTTCAAACACAAGTGTGGAATGGAAACACCATTTTGTTGGCGCCAGCAGCAGGCCTTCTGTTTAAGAAGAGACTGTGGCTACCCAAAGATGATAGAAAAAACATTGTTATTGTGGCCGGAAGAAACGATATGACTGTACCATTAGACGGATTAGCGAAGTTACAACAATCATCACTAGATAACATACGGTTCTTAGTGGTAGAAGATGACCATCGACTAAATAAGTCAATGATCGAACAGGATCAGCTAAGGACTTTAATCAATGCCAATTCTCAGTCTACGATGACCACTAATAAGATCAACAACTATTTCGATTGTATAAAATTATGGTTCCGCTGCATGTTTTACTTAGCTATCTCATTTATTCAAGAGCCATTTACTCTTTATAACACAATTAAAAGGCTGCGTAGAATTAGAACAGAAATTATTGAAACAAACTAAAGACAAATGTTATTTAACGAACAATTAACTCGAAGATTTTTAAAATGATGCACTTTTTTCTTTGCCATTGAAGTTTTTTGAATATAAATATTCAACTACAAGGAACACAAAGTACAAAAAAATTGATATTATGAGTCACTCACAAATGGCGCCATCATTATAGGTGAAGGGTGTGGGTAGTGTGGGTGTGGGTGTGTGGTGGGTGAGTGAGGGTGAGGGTGTGGCTGTGCCTGTGGGTATGAGTGTGGGTGTAGGTGTAGGTATATTCTTTATCTATATCCACACCCATACCCACATCCACACCCACAGCCACACCCAGACACCCACACCCACACCCACACCCTTCGATGGGAGTTCGTAATCCTTTTTGAACAGGAGATCGTAATCGAAAACACAGAGAGATCGGAAAGGCGTTACTGGGAATTCGAAATGGAATAATCATTACTATATGCGGAGTAATGTTTAAAAATCGGGACGAAAAAGACGGGATGTTCATGATCCAATTTACCAGGAGATCGTAACTGATTTATTCTGATATTCGCAATGGTCATAAAGACTTTTCTTTCTTTTTTTTTATAAAATCAAGAATGGTTGTTACAATAGGTTCGTAATTATATAAACAACATCTACCTTTCTCTGTCTCTACACATAACGCTAAAATAACTGTACAAGATGTTTGCGACTTTTGTGCTTTAACCTATTCATAATGTTGATAATTGTTATCACTAATCTCTGTGGAAATGAAGTACTATATAATTAAAAGTCTCTACGTTCAAAAATTATTGACTAGACGAGTGAGGGTGTGAGGACGTATGTGAGGGTGACGTCTTCTATTTACTGATCCTCACCCACGCTCACACTCCACATCCTCACACTCCACATCCTCACCCTCACACCCTCATCTGTCGTTTGTGTACTATCTTAGAATAAAAACTAGTAAATTATTTAACATATCTTAAAAAACAGCAAACATGAACACAGTTTCCAACATCCTGTTTTTATTGTTACGATCTTCCANATAATATTTCGTTCGACTCTAACGACTCAAACATTCAAGACTATTTTTACTTTTTCAAAAAATGTAACGTAAAAATTTTTACTCAATATTAGTAAAATGACCGTAACATTGTTATAGATTTATGTATTTCGAACTATCTTTTGTTTTCAGAATGTAGCTCTAATCTTTCTCTACAAAATAATATAATTTGATCAATAACTGTATAGAAGTTTGTTGTAGATATTATCGATTTACTGAGAGGGGTCGAAACTTTCTGATCACCCTTTAGATTATCTATGAAAAAAAGTTATTACCCAGTCCATTGCGATTGTTAAGCAAATCTTTTGAACATAATGAGAAAGTTGCATTTTATTTCTGAGTATAAGAATAGTTGTATCTCACTAACAATGTGCCATCAAAAGTACGAGAGCTCTTCTAAATTTTTTGGTCTCACTGAAATCTTCTTATCATCAAAGAATGAAATTATAAGTTCGAAGTTATTTGTAGTATTTTCCTCAATAGTTGGTCAAAAATTTGGAGATTTTTGCGTCGGATCATAGGAATAAGTGTTACAGACATAGTTTGATTTTATTATTCCGTTATTATACAGTTTTTGAAATGTGTTAAAAGATAAATAAAATCAAAATTATGATTATCCTATACGAACAACATAACTTGAAATCTTTTTATAGATATTTCTATGGTGAACTTCATCAATTAGCTCATGGTTTACTTTCACATCGAAATATCTTTATTGATCGTCATACTGAAAAATTACAATTACGTAATAGTGTATCGATTCATTTAGTTTTATCCGATGCACCGAATGGTGATGCTAAAGAATTTCTTCCATTAGATACAAATAATTATCTAAGTGCATATGATGCTGTAAGTATTTATTCTTTTTCTTTTTCTTTTTTTTATTTAATCGATTCCGTTTAAGTTAGATATTATTGATTGAATGTAGGTTCAAATGAGGATGGTAACACATGCACCAGTTTATGAAACACGTGAACAAGGTCTATTAAGATATAAATATTTAGAAGGCACAGATACAATGGCTGCGACTCATCGACAACAATTTGGTATGATGTCATGTAGTGATAAAATTCTCAAATGGGATGTTTTGGGTGTACAAGGAGCTCTTCTTTCAATACTTATTGAACCTATTAAAATATCTTCGATTACACATTGTAAATATTCATTTGATATTTTTCCCAAAAGAAAAACGAAGCTTTCTCTTATAGTGAGTGGTTTTAAACAACAACATACTTCACGTGCATATTGTTGTCGTTTAAGTAAAGCTTCATCAATAATTAATATTTATCATCCTAAAATTGGTATGATTATTATATTTTAATCAGAATCTTTTATTTGTTATTTAAATAAAAATCTATAGGTCGAATAAAAAATGCTATTATTCCATCAGTTGATCTTGATCATAAATTAAGTTATTCATGGTCAACTGTTTATGCCGGTGAATTAATCGATGCATCAACTGGTCGTCCTACTACAGGGTAAATAGTTTTCATCGGAATCAACAATTATGCAAAAATAAAAATAAAGTTTTGGTGTTTTTTTTTTTTTTCGTTTTAGTGGTGTTAGTGTTATATCAAAAGCAACATTACTAAGTGAATTTAAACATTTATGTTTAAAAATGTGTCATCCATGTAATATACATATGTCATATAATGAATTAAAAAAATTAAATAAAGATTATTTTAAACAAAAACAAGCAATGATTTTATTTCTTGAACAAGCAAATTTTGGTTATTGGTCATCAGATAAAATTCATTTTGAACAATTTAAATATTCATCGAATATTTTACCTATTAGTCGAAATAATTAGAATTACTTTTGTCATATAGAATGATATTTTCTTTTTTTTGTGATATTTATGTTTTTCATTTTTGTTTTTTTGTTTCATGTTATGTATTGAATAGATAAATAAACGATATGATTTTGATAAAAAAAAAAACTAAATACAAAATTTGATATTTTAGATTTAAAAAATGTTAGGATCAAGGACAATGTTAAGTTTACGACACATGACACCTGCTTATCGATGTTTTATGCAAGTATGTAGTATAAATCATGAAAGCTAAAATTGTTCATTTATTGATTTAGTTTTTTTTTTTACCATAATATGTTAAAGAAAGATTGTTTTCAAAAGTTTGATTAGTATAGTCTTAACAGAATCCGAAAAACTCATGATTACACAAATTATCTTAGTGCTTATAAAATGACACATTTCAAATGTCAATGCTGTGTAACATACAGAGACGAGTGATTGGGTACACCGTCAGTTGAGCTCCCGACAGTTGAGCCCCGACAGTTGAGAGCCGACAGTTGAGCCCCCGACAGTTGAGCTCCCGATAGTTGAGCTCCCGACAGTTGAGCCTCAATTGATTACTAATGAAAGAAACAATACAAGCATTGGATGATTTTATTCAACTAGTCTTAAATAGAAGACACAAGTGTGCGACATCTACACATGTTATTGAGGATGTGGGTGTGGGTGTGTGGGTGTGTGGGTGCGGATGTGGGTGTGAGTGTGTGGGTGTGGGTGTGGAAAGAGAAGGACACCCACACCCACACTCTCACACCCCACACCCACACCCGAATATTTTCTTGGGCTTATCCTTTTTTCTTTACTTCGGACTCAACTGTCGGGAGCTCATCTGTCGGGAGCTCATCTGTCGGTGGGCTCAACTGTCGTGGGCTCAACTGTCGGGGGCTCAACTGTCGGGAGCTCAACTGACGGTGTACCCAATCACTCGTCTCTGTATGTTACACAGCATTGACATTTGAAATGTGTCATTTTATAAGCACTAAGATAATTTGTGTANTTCAAAATTAATCATATAAACAGAAAATAGAAAATGTTTTCAATACCTTTTGGCACCTGTGCACACCATTTTACCCGAAGCAAAGATTAAGGCAGTGGTGCGTGGTCTTCGAATGCGCATAATAACAGCAGCAAATCGTTTTGGATTATATTCGGCATTACGAACTTGCAAGGAAATCCGTTTCAAGTCCAATGGACAACTCAGATCCACCGTTGATATAACATTTCTTGAAAATAATTCACAAAAAATTCAAGTAGATATCACTCTTCTGTTTAGTTGATGCTTCAAACTGATAAGTAGCTCAATGTGATTTGCCGATGAATCAGGTTTGATCATTGTTTATCTCATTATAATATTTCAGATAGAAAAAGAAATATTTTTTTGTTTTCATGATCTTTTGCTGTTAGTCAAAGTCGATATTTCCAGATTGAGCTGACTATACTCATCACAATATGTCATCTTTATATAGTAAATGAATATGTGTGATATATATCCATAAGATCTATTTTCTCACATTCTTCAAGTGCTTGAATAAAGTTGGATTCTTTCAAACTTTTCTATAGAAGATTTGCTTCAATTTGATTATTATGTAAGCCTTAACATTGTCGTTTCTTAAGTCTAATGAGCTTTTTATCAGGCAATTAGAAAGAAACATAATTCTTGCATCTTCCATCCTTTTTCGAACAGATTGCAGATGCACGTGACAGACAATGGATTTTGAAAATGTTTTAGTAATCTAATCTAGAAGGAAATAAACACGTTGCCTTCTATTAAAATCAATACTGAGAAAAGATTAAAATAACTTAGAGAACAACAAAGTCTTGTATTTTGTCGAAAGCTGAAAAGAGTATCAATACAAATGACGAGAGAAAACGTCGAATAAGCAAATGCTCTTGTTCGATTTAATGTACGATTAATATACTGATGACTTTCGATAAAGATCGATTTCGTCTGAAACCGAATAAAAGAAGACTGTCCATGACAATTAGAAGAACCTCAAGGATGAAAAATAATTTTATGTTATTTAACTAAATGATGATTTACAAAGCATACAGTTCTCAGTAAAATTCACTCAAAAACTGTTTTCTACTCAAATAAATCTTGGTAGTACCCAAATCTATTTGTGACTTCAAATCTCATTTTCATTGAGTTAATTCGTTTTTTCTAGCAAGAAGAGTTCAGAAGGGAGTTTATCGCTTTCCAGCGCATCAAATGACACAAAAAATCTAGCATGTAACAGAAATAAATGTTATTCGTGAAAATAAATTTCATGTCATGATTTGGTCATACAACAATCAAACAATACAGATCGCATCCACAACACTAATACGAAATACACGAATGCCTACAAATAGTTAGTTTTGCGTTCAATACTTAAACCATTGTCTAGTGGCATGGCAGAGTGACAAAATGAACTCCACTGTCGTGTCTCACGTTTGGCTTCAGCGGCATCTTCTCTTTTTTTGTATAAATTCTCATTAGTCTTATTCTATACAAGTGAGATCAAAGATTTCAAATCAGATTACGAAAATAAGTTTTTCTCCTTTTTACGGTAGATTTTCCGTTGTAACTTTCTAACTTAAAACTGAAAACATCTTTGCTGGGTTTATCCATCATAACAGTTTCAAAAATTATTCTGTCGTTAACTTTCGTATATTGAATGTAAAAAAACCGCTACAACTCGTTGATACATGTGTTCAGAGAGAAAATTATTTTGTTTTCCGATGAACACTTACTGTAGGGTAGGTTGCAAACGAGACACGTTGACAATTGGTGGCGTCATGCGAACTTGAAATGGTACGTGTAGCTGTTGTTGATTGCTGGAAGTGACTGAAGAGGTTGAATCTATGCATGTTGTGATTATTTCTGATGATGCTAATGGGTAATGATCATTTTCTTCTTGTTCTTGTCTGGAATCATTTTTTGTCCTCATATTTGCTTCTTCTAGCAAAGCTTCGCTTACTGCACTTGGCAACAAGGGCAAAAATGACATTTAAAATACGTACTGGTCAGTCTATGTCAACAAGAAAATTTGAATAGAAAAACAGAAAATACGCTGAATTTCGATGACAAATGAGTCTCGTATTTATGTAGGTCACTGAATACCGGGAATAAGTTCATTACGAATGGAAATCAGATAACTTCAATAAAACGATTTTATTGTAGTCAACATTGTACTCAGAAATAAGAGCATAGTTACAAATATTTTTTATATGAGCAAGAAGGTATGACTCATTTCTGTCTCCAGAATAGATAGTCTGAAATAAACCAAGTATTGTTTAAGAGGAAAAGAACTTTTATAAACGGCAACTCAGGATTTCTCTTGTATAATATAATTCAGCATTGATTTTTCTATAGGTCATGATCGTTATCTCTCATTTTCGTTGAAGTCTACGAATAATTCTAACTTTCTCTCAAGTTGAATTTATGCTAGAGAGCTTTTTCAAAGAATACAATGAAAGAATAACAACTCGAGATGTTTCACTTTATATTTCAGCTCAAAAGGTTACTTATTCAACTGTTAATTACTGATTATGACCGTACTGTCTCGACTAGTGAATTTAATGTCGACTGCCAGAAGCCTAAGAGCATTTATTCTAACGACAAGTTTAGTCAATTGGAAACATGAAAATTTTGTTATTTTGAACTGAATCGGACATTTCGATAAACGTCCTTGGACTGTCAGTGGCATCACCCAGATCTACTTTGAAATGTACATCGATTTCTCACTGTTGACCTCCTTTTCTGATTCAAACAAGATAAAATGTTATTTTGTGGATATTATTTGTTTCTGCACAAGTAGTTTGAAGAAAACTCAGAAGTCAAACGGAAATGAGAGTATGGGTGAGTGCTGAAACTATTCATATTTATTTCTATACTTACAAATAAGTCTTAATTTCGAAGTGTATAATGTCTGATCAACTATGCCGTTAGACATATATATGTCAAAGGTGTGGCTGACTCAATCCTGGTTAGTAATTACATGTACAAACAACAAATATGTTGAAATGCGCGTAGACAGAACAGAAACAGAACAAGAAAAAAAACTTGTCTTCTGCAATGTGTATGTGTAAGTCGAGTCACCTTTGCAAATAACTCAGCAGAAAAACATCTATGTACTGTCCCTGAATGACGCAATAGCTGTAAACATTGCGCCAGCATTGTTTTTATTTTTTATGCGCACTATTTGAGGAGATTTCTGCAAAAACATTAACTTATGGTGATCAAGCAGACTAACTAAAACGTGAGGCAATATGCACGTATTGCGATGTGTTTATCAAATTTTAACAGGCGAGCCATATTGTCATCCTTCGTCTAACGAATAAAAGCAATGATTTTGCCTTTTTTAAAGCGAAAACTCGAAAGTCTTTACAGTTGTATCATTTCCTGGCATACTAAAGAAACATCTGTCTTACAAAGTTCTAAAAGAAAATTAACAAAAATCGAGGATATGGCTGTCAATGAAGACAAAGATTGCTCAAGCTGGTGCATTCATACACATTTCTTTGTTGGTCAAGTTGTTTTCTATTGTTTTTAATCTAAAACTAAATTCACATAGACCAACAGCTTTGAAATAATCCTAAAATGAGAATGTATAAAAGACCAAAAGAGCAGTTGAAATTAATTTCTTCACTTGATCGATAGAAAAACTCGTGCTTTGTCTGCTAATTTTGTGTGGGTTTGGGGTGTGGATAAACCTTCGCTCTAAATCTATGATTCACACTCACATCCATACCCTGATCTCTTCGTTCAAGTCAATGCTACTAATTCTCTGTGCCAACCACCCAAGTCTAGAGTCTCAACATCCGACAGTGATTAGAGATACCAAGATGAGCTATTCTTTCAGATGATTTCTAGCAAATTAAAATTTTGATTTGACAATTGTGTCGCTGTATCAAGGGACTAGTAATAGTAGAATAACGAAAGCATGCATTGTTTTTGCTCATTAATCGTTTTTAGTTATGTCATTACAAAATGAATGACTTAAGACCAGTTCCTCGCAGAAAATTCCAAAACTAGCAGGAGTTAGGAGGCACGAATATTGCATCTGTATCAGCAGCTACTTATGGTGTATTCTGGCTGAAAATGGAAAAGTGGATCATGAAGCTTCGACATCGTATTCTTATCATAAGACATCTGTGTTGTTATTTTTTGGATTCCTGATGGTATTTGTCTTTTAGGCGATGTTGCAGATGCTTCGATGACAAGTGGTGGTGGAGTAATAAAATTTCAAGAAAGAATGTCATTAATTGCAAAGTTTGGAGCTGCTGAAGAGCTAAGTGATGTAGGGCGTCAAGTGGCTTGTGAGCCGGTTGGTCTTTATGAAGATCAATCACTACATTTAGAGTTGAGATCTGACGAAGTTCTCTCAGTTGCTTTTCCTTTCATAGCTGTTCTAGAGACAGTAAGAAAGATGATTTGTCAAGCAATGAACAAACAGCATTAAAAATACATTCATTAAAGGAAATTGTGCAATTTGGCATTGCTTTTGCCGTGAAAGCTATTCTGACTGAAGATGTCAACACACTATATCTTAGCGAAAACATAAGTCCTGAAGATCTTATCAAAAGTATGGTTGAATTGATATCTATTCTGAAAAACCAACTATGATGGCTAAAGCTCTTCGACGACTGAAATTAGAAAAAAATATAATTTTACCATTTACGCTGTTGTTCACTTCGCCACAAGGAGAAACCTTAAGCCAATGGCATCTTCAGACTTTTACCAACAACAGGGCATTCACCTTAAGAGTGATACCGGAGACACAATTAAACAAAAACATCTATTATAGATGAATTCAGATCTATATGGTTATTGAGTAGAAACACGTGATGAATATAATGGTTTAGTTAAGGTTGATGAACAATTAACGAAAACGAAAAAATAATAGATCGATGCTAAAATATATTATCTTTTAAACTATCATTTTTGTTTTAGATAATTCTATCTGTCGTTTATTAGTTATTCATAGCAAATAGAGCGAGACCCAAGAAGTTACCTGATTACGAACGGTATTTTGTCTAGACTGATATTCAGCCTATAAGCAAACCAATTGAAAGTAAGTAAGAATTCATTAATATAAAAGTAATGACATTACTTCGTATCTTTATTTTCTTTATAATACATTTGAGATTGTTTATAGAAAAGAAAAGAGTAAAATAACTGATCTTCTGTAAATTCAGCCATCTGTTAGAATACAATCAGCGTAAGTTTATTTTTTGCAAATGTTTTCTTGTCAAAAATGTTCATTTCTAGATAACATTAATATTAATAATTGCAATGAAACTGTTCAATCAGATGATCCAGTTGTTTTCAATCGATATAGTAAACTTCTTGAACAAAGACTGCGAGCAGCTGATTTAGTAAGTTCGTCCTTATTTCTTTCCTTATTCATCATTTTATTTTCATAAGAAAAGCTTGAGGAAGATGGTAAACAAATTGTGGCTACGAATGTACAGCTTATCAACAATTGACAACATGCCATCCGATTTCAGCAGCAATTCATCGAGCAACTTGCACACCACTATGAATTACATTTATTAGTTAATGCCATTAATACAATCAATCTTTTGTAGTGTTCAAGACATTGATAGCAAAATGGCATTTGATCTTCAAAAACAAGCAGAAAAGAAGAATAAAAAAACTGTACATTTACTTCGACAAATGGCGTTATAAATCAAACATGAATTTCACTCTAAATATGTTTAAATTATATTATATTGAAGCTGGGTGTGGGTGAAGATCTGGATGAAGAAAACATTCACATCCACACCCCACACCCTCACAGATAAAGATCTTTTTGCCATCCGCATCAGTATTCATATCGACTACACTTCATGTTGTAACCTTCATCGACGATTCTGATAAGATTCAAGGTTGTTCAATATTCCAATGAAAATTTCCCATTTAGAGGTTCGTCTTAATCGTATTGACGTGTTTCTCTCTACAACATCCTCCACTAAAAAGAGGAAAACTGAACCATTCGTTTATGAATTACTTTGTCTATGAGTATGACTTATGCTTACTTAAGAATTCATGAATCAATTACAGTTCATACATGTGCATCCAGTGTCCATGCGGTACGACTATAGCGGGTAAAATGTGCTTTGTATACTGTTTGATGATTCATCTCGATAAGAAATACAGAATCTGAATGCATGACTTCTTGCACATCGGTACTGTCATCAGAGCCATAAATAAAAACAGTTGATCTGTTGACTCTAAGTCAATACAAAATCATAAATATAAAAACATAGAGAATAATTTCCTAAGAAAAATATGCACTAGGACGAATTGAACAAGTTATTAGTATCCAAAATATGGCGTCAAACGAGGCAATTACTTTCGTTTGAAATTAAACATAAAAGCAGTAACAAATATGGATACTTTCATCAAACTATTCAAAACATATATTATAATGTTTATTTTGAGAATTCAATATTCAAATACACAGAATAACAAAGTAGAAAATATTGGTTTCTTAGTAAATGAAAAAAATGAAATGAGACAGTTTTAATATGTTAGTCTATTGTTATTTTATCTTAATGAATATGTCTCATGCAATTATAAATTTATCATTCAATTGTTGAGGGGATTTTCATTCTTTGATAAACAATAATAACACCAATGATTAATGTATAATAAACATTTGGTCGATCTTCAATATAAAATTATCCATATTTAGATAAGCATATAATTGTCCATTAGTTTGATTTTAAAAATAGTTTAATTGGTTCTTCAAAAATGATCATGATACATATTGTGTTGAAAAAAGACATCAGAATTAAAGAGATATTGTAATGGATATAGAGTGTCATTGTAAGATTCTTTTATGTGTCGATTATTTTCCAAAACATGATTGATTATATAATTATGATCTAAATTCCACACCAAAGACCAACATTGTATACAATATCCATTAGTCCTGTTTTCATTATGTAATGGATTCAGTAATTTTTGTTGGTATCTATTGAAATTTTCTTTCTCATTTTTTAATTGTTCCTTAAAATATTCATGTTTAGAATAAATATTGATCATCATAGGATAAAAAACCGAAAACATTTGATAATAAATAATAATTAAGATAAAACATATGAATAATATTGTACGATAATTTCGATTTATTAAATAATCAAGAGGTTTTGGTTGCTAAAAATAAATAAACATTAAATATATCTATTCATTACCATTTTATTAAAACATTTTTCTTTCATTTTCTCATCTAAAATTACAATAAAGAGATTTCATCTTTTTAATTTTAAAAAATTACTTATTTCATCAAAATGAAGTGTATTTGATCTCGGTGTCATTGCTGCATTAGAGTAAGCCGACATAATAATAAATTATCTAAAATATTTAAAAAAAGCTTGAGTTGGATTAAAATACGAAGTTGCTAAGCATCAGTGATTAAGCTACTGTATCGATATTCAAATGCATATATTCATGATCGTTTTACTGAATCCTACAGAAATGCAAAAAAAGATGTCATTCCTTTCAATGCATAAAGATGTGAAAAACACATTATATGGCATTTTTAATCTTCTCTTTTTATTTGATGTGATGATGGAAACATAATAACAGTAACACAATGAAACAACCCTAAAAATGTATATTCTACTTAGGAAATTAGCCAATTGTTTGAAATCAGTTAAAAAGCCGTGAAAAATTGATCACAAATGAGTTTGTGATATTAATTCATTAATTTCCTTGCCACATCTGTATCATAATAATCTCACTTTATATGATGTTCGCGTGAAGTTTTTTTCATCTAAGGGCAGTTTCATTACATCTTCATTCACTATGATCCGCACAAATTCAGCTTTGAATTTTCCAATAGGAATATCTAAGATTTCATCTTATTCGCAAAGGATATCATTCTAAAGCTAAAATCTTGACTCTTTGAGCTAAGTTGTTTCATTTGCACAGTCCTATATATGATATCCTAGTTGTCTGTGAGTGTAAATGACTCTCTCTTTCTAAAACCCAAACCACACCTACACCCACACCCCACCCTATTTCTACACATTAAAATAAAATGTGTCGCATGTGTTGCACTTTGCAACACGAGATGCTCGTTGCGACACATTTTGTCCAGCGACGACACAACACATTTTAGTACAACATATGCGACATACTTCGAAAACATAGTTCGAATCTGCTGTACAGCGCATATTGATTTTTTTCTTAAAAGCAAATTATTACATATTTTTAGATTTTATTCCATTTAAATATTGCTATTCTGAGAATTTAAGCAGGTCAGATGTTGAGATCTGTCAGGTCTCGAGCTGGTTCGATTTCCATCAGATCGCTTTAGAGTAGTCCTTCCTTGATCATCGATCAAGATGGGCATGTTCTCGACTTATAAATAATCGAAAAATAAGCTAAAACCAATTAATATGAAAATATATAAGTTTCGTATGTTCAATCGCGTTGTCTATATGCAGCTGTGTGTCCAAAACAAAACGGTGAACGAATAGTCAGCAGACAGAACGAAACAAATTTATATACGACACATTCTAACCGTGACACATTTTCGCCATTGAGTCTGCAACACTAATTCACGACACATGAGTGCGACACATTTTATTTTAGTGTGTGCACCCCACCTTAGGATAAATGTCATGCTTCATTTATATAGCTAGCAATGGACAAAGATGTTATCGTGCATTGCTTTATTATGCATACCTTTTTATTTAATAAATAAGCGGAAAAAAAAGAAAAGAAACGCATGAGTGGCCAAACAATCCTCACTAGCCTCGTTTTATGCAGGCACCTGTGCATCATTTTGTTCGTTTTTTTGTGATAGTCATGTTGAAAAAAAATGAAATGAGTGATCGACAACCTCTGCTAAATACATGCAGTAAATCATCTATTGGAGATAACGATTATGATGATAATAATAGGTATGATTTGACAAAAAACTAATTTAGAGAAAAAAAACAACTAATTTATCATATTTCATAGTTTTTCTGATTGGCGCCGATTCTTCAGTAGGAAAAAGAACGATAATCAATATATACAATTAGACAATGATACTGAACATAATGACAAAGATGATGCAGTTGATGTTTTCCGTTTAGTAAGTGTATTCAGACGAAATACGAACTGACTGATGTATTCGATTTTATTATAGTTTTGCTTTGCTAATCGTATGGATTTGGTCCTGATGTTTGCAGTTATGTGTTTCATGTTGGTAGAGACACTTTCCTTTCTCGCTTATCGAATTGCTTTCGGCAAGCTCACAGGAATATTTGCTATGCAGTCTTTTGGTGACAGTTGTGAGTATCAAAACAAAAATTCAATGGATCCAATTAAGAACAACAATACATATACTCAAGGAATCAAGCTCAATGGATTCGACAATACTGCATGGCATAAGTAGTTCACTAAAAACTATTATTTGTTACTATGTATTTCGTTTGTTTTCCTTTGGTGTTTTTTTTTACTTTAGATTGTGTCATAATAGTGATGTAAATTTGTCATTAAGCTTAGCTACATCAATGCCTTCATTTCGAGAAAAAGTTATGAACACAGTTCACTGGTTATTCAGTAAGTGAAATGAACGTAATAATTTGATTATAAAAAATAATTGAAATTGTCTTCTTTTCTCTGTCTATGTAGTTATTGGTACTGTTCAAGTTCTGTCTTGCTCCATTCAATATTTTATTTGGAACACCAGTGCGAAACGACAGGCAATTCGTATGAGTAATTCCTTTCTTCGATCACTTATTCAGCGCGTACGTCAAATACACTTCCAGTTATTAAAAAAACCTCTCCACAAGCTACGTAGGCGAAGTTATCACCAAATTCCAGTTTTTTTAGACTGGATTCACTCATGACTTTGTTCCAAATCTCCTGTTCTTGTTCCAAGTAGAACTCGACGAGCTATATCCAAAGATATACTCAGGTTTTGTACAGCGGCATCTACGGTCCCAAAAATCATACTTTGAGCTGTGGTAAATCTGATTTTACCAATGGATAGAGCTCGTTGAGTTCTACTTGGAACAAGAATAGGAGATTTGAAACAAGTTCTTGAGCGGATCCGGGCTGAACAAACTCGAATCTGGCGATGAGTTCATCTATGTCTTGAAAATTTAATCCTCAGTCTTTTCTTAGCGTTACTATAAATTTATAGCATCTTATGCGATTGCTTCTAAGCAATTCTAGCTAATCCACGAAATAGGCTAGATTATTTCGAGTAAAGTAATGCATGTCTAGAGATACCGAGATTAATAGAATTTCCAGATCTAAAACGAAGGATTTAGACCAACAGTATAAATGTATTCTAAACTTCTCTTTTACCCATACGCTACATACTTTCTTAGAAACTGATAGAAATATAATCATTTTGAAGCTCACGGGAGCAATAACGACCATTTATTGGTTTCTTGAGGATTAATTTTCAACTTCAGTATATGATGGCTTTGCAGTTATGAAGACAGTTATCTTCATTTTTGATACACTTTTACAAGT